ATAATAATAATAATAATAATAATAATAATAATAATAAAAGCTATATTAAATATAAAAGCGAATAATTATTGTCCCCAAACCAGCCCTTGACTCTACCCCAAAATGGTAAGCGCATAAAATATTCCTCATATGAAGTTTGTACCTACCTCACAKGAACTAAGATTCCACAGGACACCCAGTACTAACTCCTTCACCTAAAATAGACAAAGGAAACCTCGTGTTATTTATTTTTTTCMACCTTCTTTTATCCCGTCTCAAAAAAATGGTGACCTACAAATCAGCTCTTACATGGTTATTTTCTTTGCATTTGTATAGATCCTAGTTTCACTCAGAAAATACCGCCAAAATCCTTTATGACTGACAATGAGAAGATGCCCAATCAAAAACGTTACTTCGGGGGGAGGGGGTGGGGACCGATATTGTTMAAAAAAAATGGAGTACGAATTGGATTTTGTTCGCGTAAATTGTGTTACGAGCGTATTCGTTAGAAAATACGAAAAATAACATTTATGTCTGGAGAAATTAGCATAAAAAAAGGAGAATTGCGTGACCGATATTCGGAGTTGCGATACCTCAGACGATTACTGACATGATGATATGTGTTACCAAAAACCAAGCATCATATGAAAAGAAACTTTGCTCATATCAAAGTACGATACATTTGTTCGCGTAGATTGTGTTACTTGTGTATTCCCGAGAAAATGTGAAAAATTCTAGATGTATTTCGAAAAAAGGGCGTTACTTGCGTGACCGATACCTTGTGTTGCGTTACGAAACCTCTTTATCATTTTATTTTATCGGCCGAAAAAATGTGGAAAAGTGCTATTTGTGGTTTGATAGAAGAGTGTTACTTGCGTGACCGATACCTTGAGTTGCGTTACAAAACCTCTTTATCGTTTTATTTTATTGGCCAAATAAATATGGAAAAGTGCTATTTGTGGTTTGATAGAAGAGCGTTACTTGCGTGACCGGTACGTTGAGTTGCGTTACAATACCTCCTTTTCATTTGATTTTACTAATGGTACACGAACTGTAGTCCTGGCCGAACGGAACACGATAACATCACGTCTCGCTACGAAACGCAGTCCACTCTAATAATCATGTGCAAGGGAATATGTTACTAGAATATATATATAAGAATAAACTAACGATAAAAATAAATAAGATTAGCAAATGTAAAAGGATTTTTGCATAAAAAGCTGTTCTTACCTCGTCTTTAGGTGTTTTTTGTAGAAGTCTGATCAAGGCCTCGATCCCATAACATTCAGCAATTGCCAGCTACGAGAAATGCATATTAAAAACATGAATAAATGTCTGTCTGTCTGTGTCGGTCGGTCTGTCTGTCTGTCTTTATGTGCGGGTGCGTTTTTTAGCTGTCTGTCTGTGTGTCCGTCCGTCTTAATGTTTGTCTRTCTGTCCGTCTATCTTTCTTTTCGTCTATCTGTTTGTTTGACTGTCCTTCTCTTTTTATTCTTTTATCTCAGTCAAGATCGTCACCTTGTTCTCATCTCTGTCTTTACTGTACGAGACATTTCTAAGACAGGATGCCGCTGCCCGATGTACTGCATACACTTCATGATCAAGAAGACGAACAAGCACAGGGATCCCACCAAGCTCTCTACAAAARAATATCAAGTATTTAGCTGATAGGCAGTTAACTATTAACGCACACAAGGATAGCTCTGCATGAGCACCATCTCAAGTCTTGTCAAATATTGCAATATATATTGTAGATCTATTTCAATTCGTCTTCCATTCCATTCCATTCCATTCCATTCCATTCCATTCCATTCCTTTCCTTTCCTTTCCTAAACCAATCCCCTCAATACCTTATTTTAGCCTTTACAGCCTCGTCGTTGTAACACAAGTGTTGGAGATAAAATGCCGAGTTTACTATGAGATTAATGTCATCTGTCTGTAAGTATTCGATCAGATCTTGAAGATCAGGTTCGTGTGCATAGGTCTTTCTCTCTGGAAAACATAAAGGAAAGAATGATCAGAAAAATAAATTAGATAACTGGGAATATTTGCATGCTTAAACAAAATAACGATATGGAAAAAATAACAAAATCTGTAAGTTTTATTGATACACTGGAACAACCTCTGTGCTGATCAAAATCAGGGCACGGCTAACTCACTGATCGAATAGACCACTTCGGCTCTGACGTAATATTTTCCCATTTCAGACCACATGTCATTTCCTAGAGTATCCTTTCATTGTTTAAKGTTTGCGCTCGGTTGCATATGAGAAGAGAAATGAATATGGATACAGCTCAAACAAAGAATCTTTTTCTCAAGGGATGACACCCCAAGCCGAAGAGGTCTATTGGAAAATATCGTTTTACGTTTTGCAGAAGGAGGCTAATCAGTTAATAAACCCCTTGCGATATTTGATGTCAAAGAAGCTCAATTTAGAAGAAAAAATAAAAGAATTTCAATCTCATGAGAATCGGAAACCTATTGTTATGTCCCCCAAATTGAGCTGCATTCTGACGTGCTGCAAGGGCCTATAATGGTGTCCGTAACACTTGCCAATTAGTAACTAAACCTTATTAAAAATATAAACACGCAATACCAGGATACAGATCTCTTTCTGTCTTGCCATCGTCTTCGTAATCTGCCAGCCAACGGTTGCAGGGAAAGACCCAGCATTCATCRAGTACCATTATAACAACCTCCGCTAAAAACCAACCCGTACCAAGCCCCTGACCGTCATGACCAATACGGATCTTCTCGACCTGAAACGAAATATATGAAATAGTATAAATAATGTTGAATRCAACTAAAATATTATCCTTTATCGCCCTTCTTTCCTTCCTTCCTACCTTCGTGCGCTTATTCATTCGTTCGTTCGTTCAGCTCAATAGACCCTTTTCGAGTTCCAAATTACCGCTGTGTTTCTCGATTACAGACTCATTTACTCAGGCTTAGCCTCGATTTTGTGAAGAATATTCACGTGTTCCAGTCAAGGTCCGTCAAGTTTCAAAGTGTTCGTATTGTTGAACTTGTGCATTCTTTACTTTACCGTTGGTATTTGCGAGTAATTAGACACTGATACGAGGATTAGCCTGAGCAAATGAGTCTGTAATCAAGAAACACGGCGGTAATTTGGAACTCGAAAAGGGTCTATTTGGAGGACATAAACAATAGGTTTCCAATTCTCATGAGATTGAAATTCTTTTGTTTTGCCCTCCAAATTAAGCTGCTTTGACGTCACATGTAAGGGCATTGCCCTTCAACACGGACAGTCCCGCCAAAACCTCATTATTCACTTATCTAAATGACTTACATTTCCAACATCAGTCGTGTGCATATTGAACTGAAACTGGCTTCCTTTCTGTAGCTGGCCAGTTGGTTCACAGACCTGTCGCAGCTCCACTACTCCTGTATCGCCTCGATCACCAAAGATCTGCATGTACACGTTGGAGTCGGTACCGGCGTTCTTTCGCTGACCAGTCTTTAGTGTAATACTGTAGTTTTGAACTGAAACATAATAAAACAATACGAAACAATACGATTTACTTGGATTGTTTAGTAAGGAAAGATCGTGAGACTTATGTAGCTTATGTAAAGCAAGGAAGAGACTATGCGGTTATTCAAGCGCTCTGGTGTTCCATTACCTGATCTCAGTCCTATTTATGGATCAAATCCACTTCGACGTAATGTTTTGCCCATTTCAGACCACGTGTCATTCTCTCGAAAATAAGATTCTTTGTTTGAGTTATATTCATATTTATGTGTCTTTTCATGTGCAACCGTTAAACAAAGAAATGATACTCTTGGGGAACGACACGTGGTCTGAAATGGGAAAACAGTGGATTAGGTCTATTGTACCTTTGTGTTGTGCGTCCTACTTCAGAATATCCTTTGAGGCTTTGCACCATCACGTGAAGGCAGCCATRACAGAGGAAACAACAACAAAGTCTGGGAAACTGAATTCTTTCTCGCGTATCCCATATTTGACAAGATTCAATAGGACGTTTGCATGATGGCGTCATTTGACTCCCACTACCAAGATGCTTCGCGAATTTTCTTTCTTATCTAAATTTGTATTCCCTCATGGGAATAGTGAGACAATTGGTGCTAATTAACTGAACGAAAGAAAGTGTGCAAGGGAGTCTGGTAGTAGAGGTCAATGACGCCATCATGCAAACGTCCTA